ATCTGTATTATGTATTACTTAAGAACTCATCAACATTTACTAAACGTCTCAGTACTGTATTTCGAAATGTCTAAAGCTGTAGTAATACAAATATTGTGTGTAACTTTTATACCAAACAACACAATAAGGTTACAAATTTTAATTTTTTGTAGTTTCAGAATATTCTTCAAATAAGTTCACCTAATGGTTGTTTTTGTTTCTGGGTAGATCCATATAATACCTATTTTAAAAATTAACTAAGTAAATTTAATGCGAACGAATACAGTCTGAAATCTATATCGACGCTGCTTTCAGCAATATAAACAACTCTGTTTTTCACAGAAGTCTGTATTCAAAAAACATAAAACTATTAATTGTAAATTTATTAAATCAAATAGTTCAAATAGTAATTTATAAACATTAATCATATCAAATTTCTTCAAGAGTAAAAGTTGAAAACCAATCCATAAAAAATTGATTCCATATATATTATTTAAAAATAATTTTATTGATGTTGAAATTTGATTCTGTAAGGCCCATTTGTTGCTTACCATGTAGGTTTCTACAGTGTTTTTACTTCGAACATTACTTTAACTATTGATCCATAATTAAAGTAGTTAAAAAAGATATCTCTGACTCACAGAATCAGACTACTTTAACTATGTAATCAATAGAAGCAATATTCAGAAAATATATTTAATTTATTATTATTAACTAAACAAATCAATAAAATTATTAACAACGAATATCTGTTGGCAATATCTGATAAACATATAATTAAACGGGTGTGTACATATATTTTTTTATTGAGCAAATATACATATAAACATAAAAAATAATTGCGGTTGTATTTTTCTGTATAAATATATTCTAAGTAGCACACAAAAATACATTCCACATACTTGTATTCGAATATATTTGAAAAAAAAATATTTGGAAACGTTGACTTTTGAATGCTTTTTAGTTTAGTGACGTAAATATATTTTTTATGAATGTATTCTCATAAAATGTAGATATATCTGAATATCGTTGCTCATACGTAGTGGTGTACTGTGCGTACTGCAAATATAAGTGAAATATTTATAAATAACACTCAATTTAAAATTATAAATAAAAACTTCAATAAAAATTTTAGAGCATATAGCAACAGATTTTAAAATATTATGTATTAAAATAGTTATATTTTTAATTTTAAGGTTATGTACAATAAGCCAAAGACGAAGTAAAAATTGTTGAAAATACTATATGTTCTCTACTTTCACTGATAAACCATAATCAAAAGAAATTTATGTTAATATGCTTTTAAAAAATAAATAAATATTAAAAACTATTGGAGCACAAGGATAATATTTCTAACATTATTATGTATGCCAGAGGAGAGTATTGCAGGTATATAACTCAGTGCTAATGCAAACTATAGATTTTTAAAAAGTGATTTAAAGTTAGTTTAACTAAAATTTAATTTAATTTAATTTTTTGTTTTTTTTTTTGTTCTTTTATTATTTTTGCTTTATTTAATAATTTGTAAATTCTTATTTATTGTGTATATATTATTTATATCTTTTTTTTTGTTAGTTTTTAAGTTAGTTCTAAGATGCAACAAAATGGTTTTTTTCTCTTAACGCATTTTTAAAACAAAAATAAAAAATAAATATAAATAAAAAATGTTTTTAAAGTAACTATTATATCCGTACATATTTTAGGGGCTTCGTCAAGTTAAATATATATCATTTCTAATTTTATTCACACATGTTGTTGATTATCCTTGGATGGATGCAAAATAAAAAGGAGAAAAATAAATTCTTTTAAAACACTACATTTTTGTATCTTATTAATACTTAACTTTTTTTATACGAGTATCTAACCTAACATTTTTTAAAGAGGTTTTCGAAAACTGGTGAACTACAACAACATAAATTTTTTTTTTACTATTTTAAATTATTGAAATTTTGGCTGACCATACAGCATTTTTTTATTATCACAAAATATAATATTTATATATAACTTAAAGATATTGATCTTTAATCTTTTATATTTAAATGATTTAATATTATTTAATAATTTATATGATTTAAATATAATATATTTATATTATGTATAAACATATACCAGCATTACATTGCATATACATGCATACTACATAAATACTTTTATTATGTATAAAATTGCTAATATTATTTAACGAATTTAATTACATTTCTTTTAAACATTTTTTTTTATTAGAAATAATTAATTTAATATTCTGATTATTTGGAGAACTAAATGATATAGCCAGTTACACTAAAGAATTCTTTTCGAATATATACATTTCTTTCATATTTAAAATCGTAAAAGCAGAAAAAATCTATATATAGACTTGAGTTTAAATATATGTTAAATTATTGTATATATCTATATATAAACGTATTAAAATCAAAAAAGTTTTGAGGTAGAATTCAAAAACTTCTATTAAATATTCGAGTTCCTAGTGAAATAACTTATTATATCTAAAAGTTAGATTATAAATAAAACTTAAAAAAAAAGGTATTAACTGAATATAAAAATTAATTTTATATTATTTTTTTTTGTACAAATTAGTAGCTTTTAAGTTAGAAATATTATTTTGTATAATGGGTTTTAGGCAGAAAATACTAGACTACAGAAATAATTAAAAAATATGGCAAACACGTATTACAAATACAACTAACAACTGTAAATGTTGCTCGGCAATAAATGAGTACAATGAAAGATTCTTGAAAAAATTCTGTATTATACACAAAATTAAATTATTTGTTTATATTATTAATATTAATTGCTTTTCAAAAATCTTTTTTTTATTTGATTCTAACTTATTTTAAGTATTTTAAGAACAATTATTAAACACAAATTTAAAATCTATAAAAAATAATAATCGACGGAGTATAATATTAATATACAAAACTTTCCTATTTTACACATGAATGAAGTAAGGATCCTTTAATAATAATATGTTAAGTTACTATATTTAATAAAAACAAAAATATTACCGATAATATTAAATATTATCTCATGGAAACTACAGCAGCCATTAAAATCTATGTATCAAAATCAGTATGATATCAAGAATGGTTTCTTGATTTTATAAACCTGGGTGGTTAGAATATGATATATTCTAATAAATATATAAAATATTATTAGAACCTAAAAAAGGCAGTAGTATTATTGTTACATAAAATAATCTATATAAGTTATTATAAACTTTGAAGGATAGGTATGTCTTTCCTTTTTTATATATGATAGACAGGAAATGATACAAGGCAATTAGGAAAAAACTTAAGTTTAAACATATAAATATTGAAAAGTTTCGTCATATATAACTACACTGAAGTATTCTATAAATGATCTTCATATATGAAAATTCTTAAAAGTAAGACTAAATCAAATATTTAGCACAGAACTTAGAAGTATGTTATTAAGGCACTCTATGAAATAGCAAAAACAGAGCACTTTGTAGATTTGTTATGGACAAAACTGTGATTTTATTATCAGAGCAAGAAAGCATTTTGTAGATTAATTATGGACAAGACTATGATTTTAGAGTCATATAATTTACAAATCGTGCCCTTTCAAGGAGGTTTTAGAGGTTCAATAAAATTTTTTAAACAAAAATAGTATATGCATGAAGATTTTATATTATAAATATACTATCAGACCTATTCTGTGCACTTTATAAAATTGTCAAACATTGACACTTGTCAAAATTGACTGCTGTAAAGATTTTGGTATTCTGTGACATAAATAAAAAGGTCTTTTCCTTGTTAGTGGTCAATACCTCAAATGCTGTTTACAAAAATGAAAATATGCTCTTCTTAAGCATTTTTTATTATTTGCATACATGACAAATATTCTTAACTAAAATATACGCTCTTTACAAGCATATTTTTTATTGTGATTTGAATGCATGAAAAATGCTTTCGACAATTTAAAATATATGCTCTTTACAAGCATTTTTTACGAACAATTACGAACAGTTACGAACAGTTTTATATACAAAACACTTTACACCATAGTGTGCTGAGAAGCATTAGGTACTTGAGCTTTGAAATTTGTCAAGATGTGTCCAGAATACCAAAAAGCTTTCTGTTTTATAAAAATCAAAAATTTTATTAAAGAATTTGACAAATTTGTCAAGTGCACAGAATAGATCCGTATATGTATATAATATTTGTAAGCTATATAAAAAATTTTAAAGGTCGCAGTGAGCCACTACAAATTAGATCCTAGGCCTCGATATTTTATCGATCTGTCTAAAACATTTTTTTTAACTAATTAACTAATAAACTATTAACTATTAAACTATTTAAAATATTAGCAAATTCATATTGACATGATAATTCTTCAAATATTATGTTCAGCCACATCTTAATTTCGCAAAAATCTTAATTTCATCTTCGTTTAAGAAATTAAGTTGTTTTTTTAATACAAAATTTAGTTAGGAGGTATAGATATTAATTAAAATGAAACGAAGGCTGAAATTGAGATAACGAAAAAGTGACATTTTTTTTAAATGACAATTTAATAAATCTGGGAAATCTAGTGTAAATTTTTAAATTTGAATATGGGGCAAAAACTGTACCTGTTATTAATTTAAAATATAGTGGAAAATAATAATTCATATACCTAAAATCCACTAAAGCTAGTAACAAAATACTACTGAATAAAATTACTGAATGTCATCTTTTATAGTTATAAAAGTGCTGGTTGAAGCATGTAGTTTTTAACATTCGATATGTGAACAAAAAACATATGATTTCCTTAATTTGGGACAGTGTGAACACTTTCGAAATTAACTTAATTTCATTTTTACGAAATTAAGGAAATTTGACTGTCTGAACATAGTATAATAGTCATTAAATAATATTTTTCGTGATTACTATTTTAAAACTAATAATAAGAATAGTATATGGTATTATACATCATATCTTCGATTCTATATAGATATAAAGTAGGGTCCATTATACGTTCTTAATAATATTAAGAGAACAGTATATATACATATTTACCTGATTGCTTAAACTCGTAGAACTGTTGTTATGCGAATGATTGCTATTGTTGTTATTGTTGTTATTATTATTATTATTTAGATTGTTATTGGTAGAATTGTTGTTGTTGTTGTTGTTGTTGTGGATACTATTACTGTGGTTAATGTCACTATTTCTATTGTGGCAATTATTGTTAACGTTTTGATGATATTGACTTTGATTATTGTATTCCATTTGATCGAATTGATCTTGTTGTTGGTATTGTTGTTGTTGTTGCTGCTCTTGTTGATGATTATGATTTTGTTGATAGGTATTTGTATGTGTCGTATCGAAAAATGTTTGTAAATCCGAGAAACTGGGAAATTGTGTTAAAAGCGAAAGCGCCATTCGTTTTTCAATTTTAACAATATATATTTATATATATATACTCAAAAAAAAATTTTTTTTTTCCGATCCAAATATATACTATATATGTTTGGGTAAACTTATTTACGTTTTTAATTAAATGGAATATTCCAATTATTTAATTGCTTGCGTTTAAAATAATTATTATTTATACACTTCGCCAACGGTAAATTTACGAACAAAAGAAACACGATTTTTATGCGAAAAAGATTTTTTTTGTTTTTAAATATTAGCTTTGAGTTTTTTTTTGCAATTTCAATTTCAGTTTTCAAATAACAATTTGTTGAAATTTCAAAGATTTTTTAAGGTTTTTAATATTGATATTGTTTTATGTTTTTATTTTTTTAACTAACAACCAAAGCAACATATATTGTTTTATATGCAAACTTGTGCGCTTTTCTCTGATTACATACAGTCACTAAGAATATATATATATGTATATATTTTGTGTTTATTGTATATATATCTAACTTAAATTCATATAAAATTTGTTTTAAATAGTTTTTAATTAGATTTTAAATATAAGTAAAAGTGTTGGTCCTTCGGTTAAGTTAGAAAAGCACGAAAAAAGAGTTATAAAGTTTCTTGATACCAGTAGTTTCACGTTGACGATGGCTGCGCAGTAGAGTATTTTCAATTTTTATCAGCATCTTGTTCATCAGATACATATAACTTTCGAGATACTCACTAAAGTTGCGTTTTAAATGCTGATTTGCTTTCTCCATTTATTGAAAAAAATTAGTTAAAATTTATTAACAAAGGATGCAATGTTGTATTATTTTATTTGAATTTATAAAATATTTAAAAATTTTTTTTAATAATATTTTATTAAAGGGAAAACACTGTCGTCAAATTTTACACATTATTAAGGATTTTTTATTAGATTTTTTTAGAGTGCTTTGATTGTTTAATTTTTATAAGAATTTCACTTTTCTATATAATTTAAGAGCTAAACTAGAAGCTCGCTGCTTTTATAAATGAATTTAATTTTCACTTTTTCTTAAAGAAAATTTGTTTTTTTTATTTTTAAACACACATGTAAGTTTTATGTACTTTAATTCTTTACTCAGTTCACTTATTTTTAAATTTTAAATTTAATTTTAGCTTTTTTAAAATTTATTTAATATAATATAACTATTTAAATTTATTTTTTAATTTTATTGTCGTTTTTGTTTTTTTTTTTTGAAAGTTTTAAATGTTAATTAATTTTAATTTTTTTTTTAATATTTTAATGGTTAATGTTTAAAATTATTTTTAAAATGGGTGGGAAATTTTATTTAAATACTGAATTTTTTTTTTAAAACAAATTATTAATTTTACTTTTTGAGAAGTAAAATTTACTTTGCGTTTATTAATACAAATTTATTAATATATCTTTTTATATTTTTATATATATATATATATATGTGTATTTTTTTTATATTTTTGTGTGGAAAATTTTTCACTGATTAAGATTTTTTGCGACTGGTGCGGTAATATATCAAATGTATACTGCAAATCGTGTTAAAATATTTTCATAAAACACTGGTCTATCTCCTCCTTTAGTCTAATCGGCAACGAAATTCCGTAAACTTTGTTATTGTAAATTTTATGTTTATTTAATATATATGTGTATATACATATAAGCACTCTATATTTGAAATTGTATATGTAAAGTCGCTGATAAAGCTGTTTTATATTCTTTTTTAATAGAAATTGTTGCTGTTTCAATATTTGTATATTTTTTATACTTATTACTTATACACTTTGTATTTCAACTATGTTGTTGTATTGTAACACGTAAAATCAAGTTTATACAGGAATTGCGGCACAATATTTTAATAATTTGAATTTTTTTTTTTTGGTTAAAAAAAAATTTAATAATTTTCGCTTTTTAATTTGTTTCGAATTTTGTTATTTGTATTTATTTATTTATTTTTTTTTTTGTTTTTAATTAATTTGTATCAGTAGCGTCCTGATAAGCGCGCTTTTATTTTATAAAAATATTAACTTATATGTTAATTATTTATTATGTATTTGTGTTCTACTCTTAATAGTTTATATGATGAAAAAGGATCTGTGATGCACGTTTGAGGAACGCACGTCAAAGGAGCAATTTTAAGACAACGAAGCTGAGCTCCGCATACCGGAACGAGTCAAGCATTTTGCAAAATAATTTTAGTCTAACAAACCGTCGTACACGAAGTTGAAAAAAACAATGTTTTGTCAGAATTCAAATTGGAAAATGTACGGCCGAACAGTTAATTGTACAGAGAATTACAATTAATTCACGATCATAACAAAGTAATGGTCCAGCAATATCTCCAAGCTGAGTCGTCGTCGTTAGTAGAAGCAACAGCAGCAGCAGCAGCACTAGTTGTTGAGACTCAATTAAATATTATTTTTCGTTGTTGTTGTTGTTGTTGTTGTTGTTGTTGTTATTGTTGTTTTTATTATAAACATTCAATGCGCGCACACAAGTTGCTCCAACACTAGATAAAGGGCTTTTAAACTCACTTAAGTATATTTGAACTTTTTTTTACATTTTATGGCACTCTCATTAACTAAACGAGGAGCTTTATGCTCTCTTTGCACTCAAATTGTACACAAACAAGCAACTTATGTGAAAGTGTAAGTGTGTGTGTGTGTGTGTAGCAAAATAAAAACTAAAAAATTATTTGGTATATTTTTATTTTTGCTTGTTGATTGAATCAATTATTTCACTGGAGAGCAAAAGAAAAAACTCTTGTTTTTGGTTTTTTTTTGTTTTGTATTTATTGTATTTATTACAAAATGATCAACAATATGTGTGATATTATTATTGTGCATAAATTGTTGTATTTTTTTTTAAATCAACAATTAAGATCTTGTTTACTTCATTACACTTGTTTTTTATTAATTATTTAACCAATAATCTTGTGTGTCTAGTAGTTTAAATGTGGCATACAGTGAGTGCCTTAACACGCGCACACAAAAGCTATCTATCTCTTGTAGAGCAAAAATTATTTAAACAAGTTTTTTATTTAAAAATATCAAAATTATTTTTGCGTATTGTTGCGTACGTATGCGTAACGATAAATTATTTTTGTATTTTTGTATTTAACAAATCACTTGAAAGCGCATAGGCGAACCGAAAACTATATCACGGCACGTGAAACGAGCATGAAATGTACAGACAAACTGTTTTCATACACTCAGCAACACCACTTAAATGACGTTATACACAGATTGTTCAACTAGGCATAGCAGGTGCGTGTCACTCATACTCATACTCTTACCGACCACTATATGTTCCAGTTATGCATATGCAGCATATGATCAGCTTAAATATGTAAGCAAATAAATGTCTTGTCTCTTTTGTCATGTAATGTTGAACCACAGAGACAAGTATGTAAGCAATGTTAAGTTAATGTTAATTCAAAGACAACACAAAGAACACAACAAAGAAAACAACAAATTTATTAAAATAGCATAAATATGTGCTCTTATTGAGTATTGTTGAGAACCTCTTTTAAACAAGAGCACAATGAGTTAAATATCTAACACAAAACAAAACCAATGATTACCTCAAAAGCAGCTAACACCAAAATACAGCGTATTACCAACAACAAATAACCTGCGCGAAAACAAATAAAAACAAAGAAAAAATTGTAAAAAGCAAGAATAACAGCGCAATAAAAAACTATAAACTTGTCTAAATACACAATGTAATGTTAATTTTTTACACACACTCTCTCTCTCACTCTCTTACTCTTTGGCCGTTTATAATAACTCTTAAAACGAAATGCATTTCTTTTGCTGCTACGCACTGCTCAGGTGGATTACACGTACAGCGCAGCTGAGCTGCTGCAACTGTTCAATTCCTGTTATTTGTCTCTACTAGTTTAGTTGAATATTTTTATTATTGGGCGTAGTCAATTTAAAAATAAAATTCATTACTTGTGTCAAAAGTAGTTAACTTTTCTTTTGTAGAAGCATTCAGTCAGACTTTGTATATAAATTAATGCTTGATAAGATAAACTTCATCAAATCATCAAAAGACGAAAGCAAACTAACTACAAGAAACAAATAAAATATATGAAAAGGAAAAAATAAATATAATAAATTCAATTCGTGAGGCAATATATTTAACCAGAGTTTCCTAATTGTTTATTTTCTAGCGCTGCACTGTACTTTAAATTTTTACTTGCAGTAGATTCTATTTACATTGAATTTAAAGATTAACACTCATACGCGCAGTAACACCAAATTTTCTATCTTCGAATTATCTAAAGAATTTTGTTTTTATCTAAACAAAAGCAAATTGTATTTGGTAATAATGCACTTTGTATTTAAAAATTTAACTAATAATGTGTATGGGTATTACAAAACATTACACATTACATTTTACATTACTGAGTAGAATATTCCTATAAGAACAAAACAGAAAGATGGCGTAGTATAAGAAGGAAACAAATTCCTGGACTACAAAATATACGCATGTAGACCGGCCGAAAAAAAAATTTCACAACTTATATAAGCGGAACGAAACATAGACGAAATAAAGAATAATATAACACACCACTCAATAAGTCGTGTGACTGACCCACAGATGGCGCTGCCATTGTCAAATCTGTATGACGTTTATGAAGCACCAAACTTCAAAAGACTATGTGTAAAATTTCATAACATTTCGATTAGTCTCACAAAAAAAGTGGGAGCCATTTAAATGAAGCTACTTCCGTTATTTTCAAAACAATGGATTCTTGATGAACAAAAATACTGTACAATGGCTTCAAAAGTATTATCCGAACTCTGCTCCATCAAAAAGAACCATTTGTTATTGGTTTGCTGAATTTAAACGTGGTCGTACAGACACCGATGATGGTGAACGTTCTGCTTGTTCAATTGAGATGGTTACACCAGAAAACATAAAAAAGTCCAGAAATTGGTTATACCTGATCGAAAATTAAAATTGCGTGAGATAGCTGAGACCGTAAAGATATCAAAAGACAGTGTGTTTACAATTATGCATGAACATTTGACCATCAGAAAGCTCTTTTCAAAGTAGGTGCTGCGTTTACTCACAGTCGATCAAAAACAACAACGTGTTGATGATTCAGAGCAGTGTTTGGCCATGTTTACACATAATAAATCAGATTTGCGTCGATATATGACAATGGATGAAATATGGATCCATCACTTCACTCCGGAATCAAAACGATCATTATCTGAGTGGACCGCAGCCGGTGAACCACGTCCGAAGGCACAACAGTCAGCTGGGAAGGTTATAGCTTCAGTATTTTGTAATGCACAATTCATTGACTATCTCGAAAAGAGAAAAACGATCAATAACAACGACTACACAGCATTACTGCATCGTTTGGAAGCAAAATTGCACCATGTCACAAGTCAATAAAAACGATGGTAAAATTGCACGAATTACACTTCGAATTGCTTCCTCATTCACCGTATAGTCCAGATCTGGCCCCCAGCGACTATTGGCTATTCACTGATCTCAAAAAAATGCTCACCGGTAAGAAATTCATCTGAAATGAAGAAATAATTGCTGCAACTCAAGCCTTTTTTGAGGTAAAAGACAAATCCTTCTACAAGCACGGCATCGAGAAGTTAGAGAAGCATTGGAATGATTGTATTGGCTTTGAAGAAGATTATATTGATGAGCAAAATCGATTTTTCGCAGAAGAAATTTGTTTTTCTTAGTTAGTCTTACGACTTATTGAGAGATGTGTTATATACAGGCAAGCTTCCATAACTCGAACTAAGACGAGTGCAACATGGTTTTAGTGAGCAAATTACATATAATTCTGCTTCCATAACTCGTACTTCTATAACTTGAATAAAAATATTGTCACGTGCAAATAGGAATATGGGAAAGTGCATTCTATAAGTCAATTTTTTTTTTAAATATGAATCCATTTTGGTGTTACAGGAAGTCTCTTTTTTCAAACCAAATGTTTAATTTTTTTCTTTCTTATGTTGCTTCTTTGTGCAAATACCAGTCTCTGGCAGCGTGGTTTAAAATAAATAAAATAACTTCCAATGCTACTCTTAACTATTATATTGAGCTTACCTATGAAATTTGTACATCAAGCTTTCCTACAGATGTCGATATTATTGAGCATTATAGCTTTGAATTAGTTGATCCGATTCTAAGTGCAACGGGAAGTGGATGAAAATGTTCATTACGCTTCTAAGAATGAAGTAGAAGACTCATTCAAAATTATTATCTTTAAACGAATGATCACTATAAGGCTTGGAATAAATTATAATCTTTTTTTACTAAAAATAAGAAAAAAAATTAAAATTCCAAACCCTAATTTAGGTTTCACTATACCTATTTATATTATACTAACTTGAATTCTCCATAAGTCGAACTTTTTCTTTGCAAAATAATACTTCGAGTTATAAAAGTTTGACTGTATTTAAAAATTAAAAATAAATAAATAATAAGTAAAAAAATAAAATTAAAAGTAAATAAAGAAAAATAAATTAATTAAATATATAATGACAGGCACTATCCCGTTACTGTAAATAAATTTATACGAGTATGTAATCAGTCACATTCTGTTAAGATAAATGTCAAAAAAAAAGAAGATAATCATTCTTTGGAAAAAGTTTCAATCTGGTATCACTCTGATCACATCACTCAAAAACTGTTGGTCAATCCATACAATTTGTCATTGGTCAACACAAACTTTTTAATCTCTACTTTTTAAAGTAGATGGAAAGCACACAACCACCTCTAAGAAATGAGATAAGAAGATCTGAGCTTTCAAACTGTGAAGAACTTCCGGTTGAAATCACTTTTCAGTAAAGAGGATATATAGCAAATCAGTAACTACTTTACAAAATGCTTGATTTTCAATCATTTATTGTCAGTGAATAGTTAAATACTTTGCATTACCCACTCATTTACATAAGATAACATCGTTGTTATTCCACCATATAGTAAAAATAGTAAAAATTAATAAACTATAATTGTCCCTTGGCTGTCAATGAAAATGTTAACCTTAAACGAATTATTGACGTAGTTTGTACTTAACAATCATGTCTATATATTATATCTTTATCTATTTTAAAGTTTGAAAAGCTCACTTTTCGCAAGAATATAGTAAAAATCTGATTTAAAAGATTGTAAGCATAAATTTAGAAAACAGTGAGGTTTTCTAATTCCATTCCATCTATTCATACAACTGAAGTCAATCATTTTGTTTTATTCAGAAAATGTTTTGATATTTTGATATCTAACAAATTTAAAACGTCACTTTTATATGGTTGTGTAGCGTTTAGCAAAGCTTCAAACACTACTATTCACTAGTTAGAAATTGCACAAAGCCAGGCTCTGAGAAGACTTTTCAAAGTTCCATGGTACATTAGGACGAATGACATCCTCAGGGACATCAAGATTGATCCCATCAAAAAATGAATAAAAAATAGAGCCCTGAAATTATTTGCGAAATCTGATAGACTTACCAACACCGCGGTATCAAATTTCAGAATGGTTACAGGCTCTTCGGGGAGGTATGCAGATCTGAGGTCAATTATTGCTTAGTCTGATGAAGTGATAAACAATAATCTAGTCAAGGCGCAAAGAGGGGTTTTGAAGAAACCTCGAGTTAAAAAAGAGTATAAGTGCCTAAGTGCACTAGCTCAAAACTGCTTCAATATAATAATAAAGACTTATAGAAATCATATTAAAACCTATATAACATTTAAAACATATATTTATTTTAAAACATATTGCTATCTTAAACTGCAGAGATCTGTTGTCTTTGAAGCTAACAGTTTTGAGTGCTTTCTTCCAAGTCTATCTATTTACTATATACACTAGTATTACTATTATATATCTATATTATATATATATATATCTTTGACGAAATGAAATAGTGTAATCTCTCCTGTAATTTGTCCTCCAAATTTAAACGCTACGCAATTCTGGAAATTCTATAGTAGTTGTTTGCCTTATCTATAAAAAATTGATAAGAAAAAGTAAACTTTCCTATTGTTTTTAAATTAAATTTAACACTTTCAACTATTTTTAGATAACATGTTAGTAGAAATAATTAAGATCCATGGTATATGGTAATGCTACTTGTCATTTCATAGTGAACTTCAGTTATGACGTCAAAACAGAAAGGTGTAAGAACTGGTTTTATCTTGTATGAGGAACATATTCAATAGAAAACAGCCGGATATATCAGATTTACACTAAAACCTGATATCTCGAGGACTAAACACTATTGTCGCATCTGAGCCTACTTGAACTCAAATAATAGTTTGCTGTGATACCACGGATTAGGGTTACTCATACGTAAAACGACCGCAGGATCACTTGTATGGACAAGTGAAAGTTATTGAACGTATAATGCAGTGGAAAAATTACTCTAAATATCAAAATTTACTAAAACTCACTGCGTCCAGGAATTCGGAGTGGTATTAATATAATTATATTTATTTATGAATTATATTTATTTCGCCGAATCCACTAGGACATATAGTAAAAGAATCCAATCATTAAGCATCTTTCGAGCATCTTTCTTTTAAATATAATTTTAATTTTGTTTACTAAACCTATCAACATTTTTGAAATTTTTAATATTTAATTATAATAAATTATTTTTAATATTCACATATACACAAAATTATATAAATAATAATAAAAACTACTTTTGTCATTTAATAATTATTTAATTATTTAATTTTTTTTTATAATTTAGTTGTAATTTAAATATTAATAGATAAGGTTGAGTATTTTTTAATTAACGGAAAATGTAAATAAAAAAATTAATGAGTAATTTAAAAATTTTCACGATATCAATTTGTATCTCTGGAACTTTTTTAAACAAAGGTATGATATCTTGAAAATCATTGGTGATTGTTAGTAAAATTTTGAACTATTCAATTATTATCTTGACCAAATTACATATTCATTTTCGATATCCGTAAATTAGAAAAAAATATATTAAACTATATTCAAATCATAAAAAAAGATTTATAACAA